CTCATGCGAGATATTACCTTAGGAGGAACATTAATACCCAGATGAAAGCTATGAATAACAGTTCAAAATCTTTTTTTAGTGTAGTAAGTAAAGAGTGGAATCATTTAGAATCTAAGTTTCAACTTTGTAAACCAAAAACAATGCGAGAGCGTTTAAAATCGAAGTTTTTGAATTGCCGCTTACTTAAAGCATTTCCAAAGGAGCTTTCTTTTCCATCTAGGACTGCTGAAATACACTTTATGAGACTGAAGTACGATAATCCTCCTTTGAATAGTAATCTGTTTAAAAGGAAGTGTGTTTCTTCTCCACTTTGTCCTACCTGTCGCATCAACGAAACGATACAACATTATTTATTAGATTGCACTGTTTATAAACGGGCAAGAAGACAAATGAGGAAGAAATTGAGCTTTCTAACTCAGTTTGACGTTAAGACATTGCTATTGTATGAGACTGATAGAAATGAAGATCAGAGATTGACTATTTTCAATTCGGTCGTTGAATTTATTGAGAAGACGAGGCGTTTTTAGTCCTCGACTTTCGCACTGTTCGTTTTCATTTTTATTCTTGATTATTATTTAAACTAACCCCGAAACTCTCGAGTGATTTACCCCTATCCCTTCTTGTTTTTCCGTATCTTCTTCACTGCTTTCTTCCATCTTTTCTTTTTTTTTTCTTTTTCCTTTTACTTAATTTGCTATGCGCTGTATGGCTTCGGCCGCTTGTGCTACTCTCCATTCTTTAATAAAGCTTAAACTAAACTAAGGTTTTATTTGATGACAAAAAGGTTTGGTTTTTCTTAATTTAGATCCTAAACTCAATGTTCCTGAAAGTTTGCGAAAAGATTGTCAATTTATTATGCCATTAAATTTACCTTGTTTTATAAAAACTGATGCTGGGTCTTCGTCATCACATTCGCGCGCCGATCGTCGTAATAAAGCACTTGATTTCTTAGTTACAAAAGGTCTTTTAAAATATGGTTTATTTTGACAATCACGATCATCTCGTGGAAATGTTATCAAATCCGATAATGGTTATATCAAATGGCTATCTGGATCTGATAATAAAGAATCAACATTTATATTGATAAGGATGTTATGTGAATTAAATATTAAACTTGAAGATTATTTGAAAACATTTGATGCGCGTGGTAGACATTTATCCGAAACGAAGACGTATCGTTTGAGTAATTTAGCCATTGATATTTTGAATAATGGTATTTATAAAGTGCATACTGATTATGATAATCCATCGTCATGACTGACACCGTTCGTTACGTCAAGTGGTTTTAATACACATTTAACAACGTCAGGTATGTCTATCATCCTTTTTGTTTCTCGTACCATTGTCAACTTTTTGTTTACTTTAGAATCAGATCCATTTGCACGTGCGAAATTTGTAGCTAACCGTGGCAAGAAACGTACATCCCGACACCCTCAGCTTGATAAAATATTCGTCCATTGAAATAAAAATGCGTGGTTTTCGTCGAGAAACTGAGCAATTTTCTAAAATCGAACTCTTTCATTAAGGGTTTACCATTTGATATAATAATTTAATGATTATTATTTCGTCGACTGAGCTGTTTATTATCATCTAATACATCAATGAATTCATGTGTTTTTCACCGTACACTTATCATTATGGGAACCACTCAGTTCGTTAACTAAACATTTACTTAATCGATAACTGTATGTTACTGTATGTTGAACAAATATTTCTTATTGCCACTGATGCGTTTGATAAATACGACTATCTCTTGCTAGAACAGACGTTGCCACAAAGCGTTTTTGTATATAAATTCAAGACAAACTCAGTTAATATTGCGAATATTCCAAGAATATTTGACGATCACAATTCAATAATCGACAAAATACCGGGTTATACTATGCATTCAGCCGATGAGGTAATTGAAAGGTTCGGATGTCAGCGGAACCTTGACTCAGCAGCATACGCTAGAAATGACGTGCTTGTTATACTTGATACCACTAGCAATGACTTAAATCTTTTCAAGATGCAATAACGAACGCTGATGATCTGGTGAAACAAATACAACATGATTATCATATTTAAATTAGATCTGTTGATTCGAAAGGTATGACTACTCGCTACATAGATGCAAAACAATTCAAATTCAAATGTTTTGAACTTTTGGGAGAAACATTGAGAGCGATGATACCATCCTCTGACCGGGCAGCGCGAGATTGAATGATCCGGTATTGTCGATCTTTATATCACGACAATAGCCACGTACTAAGAGAAATAGATGAATTCAGATGCACGTACGATACAAAAGACGCTTGGCGTTGGTAGATGCATGATTGTTTTCTGTATCGTACTTTGAACCAAACACTTCGACAAGGAAATATGGAATCGATCTTAAACTTCAGCTTCTTTATTCGTGATTTGTATAGCGGACTAGCCCAACTGTATAATTCCGGACAGTTTATGGAAGTCAAGAGATAAGTAATAAGACATTCGAGAAATTGATAAGTCATATCGGATACTCCGTTTCAACTAATGCGATGTTTTCAACCTTTGTCGATCGTAACACAGCTGCCATATTTCCTTCAGATGGTAATAATGCTCCTTTAACCTCCGTATTATTCGAAATCACTGTACCACACAATCTCGTACCCATCAAACCGTTTGCCGATATTTCATCGTTAAGTGTGTGGCAGCACGACCGCGAGGTTCTGTTTCCAAGTGAGACAGTATTTCGGATTGAATCAGTCGAGCGGCTCAACAACAGCGCAGAATGTTCAACTCTTAATCAATTCTTTTTTCAGAACAGACTCTCGCGGTCAGCTGATGAGTACAAAAGAAGTGACAAGTTTGGAACGGAATGTCGGTGTTTACATATCGATTATTAACTTTTTCTCAGCAACTCTCGGCGTGGAAGTTGCTCTCATTTTCTCCGGCTTTGGTTTCCAGAGGCCACAATATGAATCTGTCATATATGAAATTGAATTTGATGCACATCACTATCGACAGACATCAACATTCGCTGATATTTCGAGACTGAGTCATATGGCAGACGAAAAAGAAATTTTATTTTCTATTGGCACAATATTCAAAGTAAAATCAGTCGAACAACGTACTAATGGTATCTGGAGCATTCATCTGCGACTCTGCGACAAGAACGATGTAGAAATAACAAAACTGGGCGAATATTTTAGTGAACTTCTGAAGGTACCAGAAATCCACGATTGTTTCACAGCGCTGCTACAGGATCCCGAGTGTGGAGCTAAGAGTGATTAACAGAAGGTTCCTATATACGAAATACATGAACGGACTTTTCTTCAGGTAAGGTATGGACAAAAAGTTCACAGAACTTTTGTAAGCAATATATCTCTGCAACCACTGAAGTAAACTTGACAAATAAATAGTCATTTTAAACAGCATTTAAAACTGTACTT